GTCATAAATATGAGTTAGTTGCCAAACGTCTGACTTTTGGTTACGTGACTGGGGTGCTGCAGTGAAAAACGGTCATAACTCACTTTTTCAGTGCCGTAGTAACTTTGAACGCTCACTAAATGAACTGTTGTAAATCGAGGACTGCCTATATTTGATTGTGCCCCACTTGGACACTCTTTCGAAAGGCTCTGAAGTTGTGCTTCTGTTAACGCCCCCCGGGGACTCCAGTGTGAGACAGAGCCCATCAAGTGGTCAGACTGATGGTTGTTACGAAATGGGTGGAAGTTTCTTGATTTCTGTCTTTTGGTTTTATCTTTGTAAGCTGCCCGGAGTCACCGCGAATGAGTTGGGTGGCCGTATAAAAGTTCTTAACTAACTTAAGATAAAATAAATAATCATTTGTTGAAGTGAAACCTTGGGCTGATCCAGAAAAGCCTCAGAAATAAAACGGACATGTCACATATCCCCCAAATACTGATGATTTTTATGTATAGTGCAATATCGGTTTTCAATTCAATTGCCTAGAATGTGAAGGATGTGTGTTTGTGTTTCATTTTTATAATTACAATGTACACTGAAGATGGCATTTAATTTCATTGTACAAGGTGCAATGACAATAAAGTAAAGTAAACTAAACTTTACCAGAAACTGAGTTAGGGAGGAATATTTTTTTCTTGTGTGTGTGTAATGGGGTGGTGGTGGTGGTGGTGGTTAATTTTCAGTAAAGTGTCTCGTTTAACAACCTTCAAAATTAATTTAATGCTTTCTACCTTTAATGACAACTTTTATTTCATTGACGTTTAAAATAATATCTAAATCATAGAATAGGACGCCCCAGTCAAGGTTTATCCAACAAAGTCATACTGTTGGATGGGAGGGAAGGGGCTATAATGGAGAGAGAAAAAACAATGGCCTAGTTTCCCCCCACAGATTGTATTAAAATGAGTGTGTTGTTGTGTGCCTGCACGTTGTGATGGCTGTATTGAAATAAACTATTGGATCCCAATAAACACCTTAATTACCACAGCTTTGACACATTTCCTTGGAACTGGGCATGTATATGACTGTAACAATATGTTTTTTATTCTCTTTGGCTTACTTGTGATTTTAATACTGTATTTTCTGATTTCTCCCCCTCTTTTTCCCCTCTGTCCCTTCCCGTCCCGCTCTTTTCCTTCTGCTTTCTTTCTCTCTTTTTTGCATGCTACCCGGATCGACAGATGAAATTAGTGGGGACGGTAATATGTGGTTACATTTTTTTAAATAAACAATTGGTGTGTGATGAAAGTACTGCTTGCAACCTCAATAACTCATTTGCCACTTTTGTTGTTTGTAATGAAGGCACACGGCTCAGCCTGATGTTTATTCATATTAGACATATTCAGCTATGCCACAGTCATACAATTCGACAAACATGGTGCGTGCTTTCTTGGAAAAAAAAGAGGGACACGAAGGAAGAGAGGTGAAAGGAAGGCAGTTGAAAATGTATAACTGTATATCCTAGAGCAGTGATGGTTAACCTTTTTGGCACTGAGTGCTGAAACTGGAGTGCATGCACAAGAGCGCTGGAACCTGGAAGAGAACAGCTGGCCAGTGCGTATGCATGCGACGGCCATCTCTTCTGGATTCCATCATGCGCATTTGGTGCATATGCGCACCGGAACCCACGCCCACCAAGCCATGCCCACAGAACCGGTAGTAAAAAAATTTAAATCCCACCACTGGTTCTGACCCTGATTGGCCTTCACTCTGCAATTTATAGGTTTTTAAAGCTTTGCCAATAAAGGTCAAACATGACCTTTTGTCTCAAATTTAACAGCATCTTTAGGACACTTCCTTGATATAAAAGCGCTTTATAGCAGATGGGAAACATTAAAGCGAGGAAATCAAGACGGGGGGGGGGGTATATAAATCAGTAGTGCCTCTTTCTCTCCCACTTGAAGCATTTGGATTTTCTTTAGAGGCTGTGAGCTTCTTTTTCATCCCTCAAGTGCTCAACATTGGAACATTTGCAACTTTTGAAGCGTTGATGCCTTAAGCAAAAAAAATGATATTATGAGCTCTCCCCCCCCCCAAAAGGGCTCAGGATGTCTGGCTTTAAGAACATCTCTTAATCTGTTGAAAATGCCTGCTATAATGAGTTACACAATTTTTTTTGTGGTTAAAATTGAT